CATAAAATACCACCAACACCAACGATAATAAATAATATCCCTTTAAATGAAAAAAAAAAAAAAAAAAAAATAAAAAAAAATAATAAAAAAAAATATATATAATATAATATATATAAATATCAAAAAATAAAAAGATATTCATCAAAATAATCGATAATATTTATATTTCAAATAAAAAAATTCCCAACAAAACCAAAATACAACAAAAAAAAGGTATCAAAATTCAATCAAATCACCCTAAATTAAATGCAATATACCCCAAATCAAATATAATTCCTTATAATTAATATATAATATATATTTATGCATATAATAATCAAATACATTGCAAATACGAATATACAAATATATTCATCAACATTTATATTATTAATATAATCCCCATAATATTATTAATTCTAATATTATTCTATCAATATTAATTACCAATAAAATATCGATAACGCTATCAATAAAAATAATTGCTATTATCATTATTACTAATTATTATTGCTACGACTACGATTACCGCTATTATTGCTACTATTCTACTATTATTACTATTGCTATTACTATTACTACTACTACTACTACTATTACTACTACTACTACTACTACTACTACCATTACCACTAGCACTAACACTAGCACTAACACTAGCACTACCACTACCAACACCACCACCACCACGACTACTACTACCACGACTACTGCTGCTGCTACTACTACTACTACTACTACTCGTTCTACGCTACTACTACAACATCAACAACAACAACTACTACTACTACTACCACTACTACTACTACTACTACTACTACTTCTGCTACCACTACCACTACCACTACCACTACCACGACCACCACCACCACCACTACTACTACCCTCCTCCTTTTCCTCCTCCTCCTCTTTTTCCTCCTCCTTTTCCTCCTCCTCCTCCTCCTCCTCCTCGCCTTTTGGTCGTACTGATTCTATTGATACCCTCGACTGTTTGCTAGGATTGGGGGAGGGGGTCTCTCTTCACTATTTAAGATCCAACAGCAAAAAGATTTATTTCAAATTCACAATATACCGTACCATATTGCTACCATAATATATATACTTTAACTTAACTGTATATCTTTTTATACTATTTTATGTTTGAATATATTTTGTTTCGTTGTGTCGATGCCGAGAAGTCGTAGCGGCAAAATTGAGCCAGCCGTGATCATCGCTATCCTTCAAGGAACTGCACGGAAAGCGCAGCCAGCCATTTCTCGCTCGGAGCTAGCGCGCATGAAACTCTTCTCGATACAAAGCTCGCTTGATGCAAAAAGCCATTGACCAAGAATAAAAAATGAAACTGCTGTAGTTCAACTGAGCTTGCGCCACAATGGCCGCCATTCAATGTTTGTAGGGGGTTGCTAGCATGGATTGCATCGCTTTCATTTTGACAGGCAAAGCACCACCAAAGCCCACTTGGCTATTGGCGGTGTACCCCAAAGCTCGATCCGTGCCCCGGCATAGGTGAACACTTGGCAAAGGTGAGATTCTTTGTGGTCAACCTTGAAGATAAGGCGCATTAGCAATTGATGTCCGAGGTCGCATACGAGTAGCACCTCTGAGCAACAAACCCTTTTGCTCAAAAGATTCAACCTACCTACTCACTCATTTGCCAAGTACATCTTGCTCTGAAAGTCCTAGTTTTGCATGAATTTCAGATACTACCAGGGTAGAGGCCAACAGCCAGCGGGTCATTCAGCTCGATCAATTGGCTTTTGATACTTCATAAAGTTATCTTATTGATGATGATCTTCTCACATGGGAGGAGTGTTATCTCATGATGCTCTTCATGTGACGCGTGGTCTGCGTCGTCTGGGAGGAGCAGCCCGACGCATGCTGACCGACTGCCTCCCGAAATGCTGCGTCCATTTTGGGCGAATCGCTCGGTCGGTGCGACGAATCGCTCACGCAGCCATGGCGAATTGCGAGTTCCACTCTTTGGCTGGACAGGGCGGACAGGGAGAGACCACGAGGGGAGAAGGGATGACACGGGGAGAATGAATGGTCCAAAGGCTACAAACGACATGAACACCAACTGCCATGAAACCTTTCAATTCATCAAGTTGATTGCTGAGGTATGTAGTTTTCGAATGGTTTCAATCCATAAACTGCCAGCCTGCCTGTATCAGCCTTTTGTCTCTCTGACTACTCAACATACTTGTAGCTCAAGCATGATATGATTCCAATCTGCGCCGCTGCGCCGTTTCTATTGATTTCCCGAGTCATCAAAATCTCTTTTCACTCCAACAACACCCAGACAAGGCCCCAAAGAGGCCTTGGAGTTCTGCACCAGCGCGGTCTTTGATGAAGTGATCGGCCACATTGGTATCTGATATCTCAAAGGAGTGAATGTTTGGCAGTTGCAACATCTGGTTTGCAGTGCTGCTAAGTGCGGGGTCTGCAGGCTACAACAGAGATGCTTTTTAATGCCATATGGGAGCAACATGGAAGAACAGGATGTTTTAAGGCCTCTGTTTTGCCTCCAATGGAATGAGGTCTGCTTAGATTTTACAACAAAGAATGCCAAGATGCTGCAGAACGAAAGACGTGTTTTCAGACTACCTGCTTACTGCACACTTTTTGCAATGAGTTCAAGTGTGTGATGGTCGTTCCTTGCTTTTGATCCATCTCGCTCTCACTCGGCCGTGTTTCTGCCCTGCCCTCGGCCCCAGACCCAGGGGATCTGATGGTTCTGGAGTGCTCAATAAAGCCTTGAGCAAAGTACGACTTCGACTTCGCTTTCAGAGTGCAACAGGTCGATTTTCTTCCTGTGAGACCTGTCTTTACCAATTGAACATTCTCTGGAGGTGCAAGAACAATTCATTTGCAAGTCTCACCAATCACCAATCCTTCGAAATTGCGGCATTGCGCACAGGGTCTCTGTGTTGCAGCCGACACAATTCCAGAATCGCCCAGTGACATAATCACTCGTAACTATATACAACAAGCACTGTAAAAGCTTCATTGCAGCACTCCAACGAGAGTCAAGTGTTCCATAAGACTGAAGGGTTGTTGAGGCTGGATAGCTACCTGTCTTCCCTTTGGCAGGCCTGGATGCTAAGCAAAACGGTTCGAATTTGGAGCGCAGGGCTCCACTTGTCCTGTAGCCAGCAGTCCCGTCCCAAAATCAACAATCAAAGTCAATCCATTCCAGTTCTTGTCCTTCTGACCCGTTTGATATGACTTAAGTAACAATAGACATCCGCTATCATCCGCTCGTGAAGAAACCTACAACTCCATATGCAATATTGGGCACCCTGAAAGCGTCCGTCGCTCCTTCAAGACGTCCAGGCAAATGCGGCCCAGCTTGTCCTTGAATCTGTAGGACTTGTGTATTTGAATATGTTTGGATGATCTGTATCCCAATTGCCGCATCCTCACATCAAAGATGGCCAACACCTCTTTGGATGATCTTTGGGTCCTTACTCTCTCCCTGAGGCTCCAACAATGTTTGGATGATAAATCTTCGTCAAGAAGCGGACCTGACATCTCCAGAAGTGCTTGGAATCGATTTATTCCGGAAGTTTTGCACAACACAAGCGAAGCGTGTTTATTGTGATTGTGCTATCATGAAGCGCTAAGTGTGTTCTTTTTTCACTGCTCAAATTCTTCAGGTAAGAACAGGTTGTGGTCGTTTGGGCCTTGGATTGGAACAGCTCGGCATCGTTGCGAATTAAACTACATCCTAATGTGTGAATATAGAGTTTAGAAGAAGCTTTGAAGTCATATCCAGCTTTAAATGCAGCAACTTGGCCGAGCCAACTATAATTGTTCATTCCAAATACGGCAAGCCTCCCGGGGCTGCTATGTCTGATGCACAACGGGATATCATGATGATGTTATCATATATGATATATCTAGGAGCAAGGGCATCGCTACTAGGGGCTCCTGGCATCGCTACTAGGAACAAGGGCCTTACTACTAGGAACAAAACTGCAGCTATAGATATATGATGTGGCAAATCATACTCTAGACGGAACACACCGAGGTATCGAACAAATGAACGTTCGTGACGAAAACGTTCGTTCATGTCAGATCCGGCTGATATCCAGATTATGTATGGGCTGGCGATTCTTATTGTGTTTGTATGTGACATATACATATACCATCATATACTTATACACATACATATATGATAGTCCCTTTAGTGTCTTCGTTTCTCGGAGTCATTCGAAAGGGTTGAACAGCCCCAACTTCTACACGCCAACTCTCACAATCTTGCAGAGTCAAGCTTAAAAGTGCGATCGCTGTCAGCCTTTGGTGGCTCCATCGGGTAGCCCTCTGGCAGAAAGAGCTCCATTTTGTAGTTGCCACCTGTGCAATGACAGGCCGAGCAAGGTTTCCAAACGCGCTTTCATGGCTTCGCAGCTTCGAGGGTGGCGTTCGGGTTTTGGCAACGTATGAAAACACTTCACAATTCAAGCCATTGCGCAAACGAGGAGGAACGATAAGGCTAGAGTGCAAAGTACGTAAATGCAAAAGCAATTTGCCATGGATTTCTCGGACTGGTTCACACCCTGTTCAAGCTAAATGTGATATGTTTCAGGAACATGATCCGCACCTTCGTATGGAGTCCCAGTTGGTCCAGCCATTACAATGTGGAAGTAGCGGTAGTTGGCCTGCATGCACTGGCACAAGTCTTCACACCTGCACTGCAAAATAATGCTTTCCAGTGGTTTGGAATCTGTTAGCTCTAGGCAGCTAAATTGATGACGTGACTGTCCCAGCTTTTCGACACCTTTCCTCGCTCTTTAAACAGGTCAGGCATGCCGGGTCTGGCTTCGCTTGCACACCCGGAGCTGAGGAGGGGGCGAGAATTGGGATGTGAGAAATGGAAGACTCGCGCCAAATACATCGTCCGTGCATCAAAGATCAGGCCTGTTCTAGAGACATGAAGGGTGGGCCGACGACATGAAGGGTGGGCCGTGAACAACGCACCCCTGCAGAATATGGAAGCAGCCTTTAAAACAGCTTTGCAGCTTCGGATGGCCTTTTATGAGCTTTGATGAGCAAAGCGAGCAAAGCCATACTGTCACTCAGGCACACACGTGGCTCGGTCTCCAGCTTCTGTGTCTCTTTCTCGATCCTGGCATTTATTTTTGGAGAATCATGCCGTCCAAAGCCTGTCTATCACTAAAAGCATACACCAGGCCATCTACTTATCTCGTCTTATCTCCATATTTGTGAGTGCACTTGGGTTTGAACCATAAACATGCCGCCAAAGATGCACCACGAGGGCTGCTTGAACATCATCAAACTATCCTCACTTAGTTGCACAGCATATAATCCATGTTTCGGAACATGGACTTACCCAAACATGAGAGCCTCTCCTGGTTTACAACTTTCCCATCCCCTCCCGCTGCTCCTCTTCGGAATCTGTGCCATGTTGCCCGCCTGGCATCGCAAGGTTGCCAAGATTGTGTCCATGTATGTCCATGCTATCTCCACAAATTGCCCAAGCAAACAAGCCAACTGCCTCAGCTGGGCCAACATGGGCGTCAGCGATTGACGTCAATCACTAAAAGTATCTAAAAGATTCTAAAAGTAAAATTAGCCTAGCTGGAGACCCCAATAGCAAGATACAAACCGGGACAAAAAAAAAATCTGGAAACAGCTGCTGTTTTCAACACATCGACCATCTCTTCCTTGGACACCATCATCACATAACCGGGACACCATCACAAAATGACCAGGGCACCATCAAAACATGACCGAGACACCGTCACAACATGACTGGGACACAATCAAGACATGATCGGGACACCATCACAACATGACCGCGCCACCATCACATGATCGGGACACCATCAAAACATGACCGGGACACCGTCGCAACACGACCGGGACACCATCAAAACATGACCGGGACACCATCACAACATGACCGGGACACCATCAAAACATGACCGGGACACCATCAAAACATGACCGGGACACCATCACAACATGACCGGGACACCATCAAAACATGACCGGGACACCATCAAAACAGGACCGGGACACCATCACAACAGGACCGGGACACCATCACAACATGACTGGGTCACAATCAAAACATGACCGGGACACCAGCATCACATGACCCGGACGCCATCAAAACATGATCGGGACACCATCCGCCCACCAGCTCTGACGGTGACCCGACGGTGCCCGTCCGCCTATTAGTTTTGCAAGACCCCATAGCATGGCTATTGGGGAAAAGGTACATCAGTCTTCACTCAAGGTGTTGGTCCGGTCTACAGTTCCCTTTAACTAATCAGGTTTTGGGGTGATCCGATAGGTTATCGATTCCCAGGAATTGTTTCTGCGACATATGCAAAGTTGCAGAAACTGCCTGGTTGTTCGACTTGGCCGGTCAACCTGGCTGGGTGAGATAGAACGACAGGACTCTCCTCGCAATGCTAATCCCAATCACGGAGACAACCGGATCCGACCTGGAACAGTTTGCCTTTTGGATAGACATTGTTTGCCAGCTTGGTGGTATCCGGTGGCTAAAAAAGACTCGTTGTCCATGTCTGTCCACGTCCTTCTCAACACCCTGCAAGAACCTATGCATGTCATTTAAGTAAGAGAGTCTCCATCAGAAAAAGCCTCACCCATACTCAATGTCTACCGTTTTGGTAGGACAACCCCTGAGGTCATTGCTCCGGAGAGGCCCAGCTTGGTCTTTAATCAGCTTGAGCCCAAAATGCATTTGATGTGCTCCAATGACCATGATCTGTACAATATCAATATCTGTTTAAGACCACATGCAGTGAGCCGAGGCTATATCGCACAACTGTGTCCAAGCGACTTTAATAACATCAAGATAGTCTTTGGAGCTGCAGCTCTGCAGCATCCTCACAAACATGACATATTTTCAGTACATTGAAGGTGGTGGCACCTGCACCTGCTGTCCAGTCCGACACATGTCCGAGTTGCACAGTTGTGACAGGCGAATCCAGCACGACGGGACACGACATGAGAAGTGTGAGAGAGGCTGGTTTCCATCCTAACGTGAT